TTGTGTCCCGGCTGGTGCCGGCTCCTGTCACCGCCCGGAGCTCTGGAGCGCGTTAACGGGGAGGCGGCCGGGCTGACTGCTCCGCTGTGGGGTTCTGACCTTATCAAGCGCCTTCTCAGGCGTTAGAGCCACTGTGTCGCGTATCTGTAACGTTATGTTTACGTATAAGGTATTTTGCTCATAAACTTCCCTGGGTGCTGTAGAGGTTCTTTGCTTTTTCTAGAATTTAGTGAGTACTTAAAATAGGTACTTATTAAAGGTTAACCAGTTTACTTATTGCAGAGGTTAATACTCATCAAGCCTTAAATTCATTAATTAGTTGAACAAAGAAGCTGAGAGGCCTTGCAATGTGTGATATGTCTTAAGCATTCCACTTCAGCATCCTTCTCATAGAGGGGGAATTTTTGAGGCAGGCACATTTGATTCGTGTAGCTGTGATGGATTTGATGTCTCTACAGCAAATGTTGGCTCTCCTACCCCCGAGAACCTTCTGGAAACTGAAGAAGGTGTATTTTTTCGGTTTTCTTGGTGATGTGCTTAGGAAGCTGCTGCCAGGTAGTAGCAGGATTTACTTGACACGTAACAGCAGGGTTTGCTAGCTCAACTGAGAGTAGTTTCTGATTTTTAAAGATACATAGTTCAAAGTTATTTCAAAATTACCTGGGTTGTTGGTTGTTTTTTTTTTTTTTTTCACAATGACAGATTTTTACACTTTTAATCAAAGTAGTATGAAGCCAACAGAAAAATTTGCTTAAGACATCATAAGATACAGGGTAAAACTGAGTTCTTGCATAGCATGAAATTTGTGTCTAAACATAATATTAATTTCTCTGGTTTGGCAATCTTTTAATGGGCTTTTCAGCATAAAAAGAAACTCTCCTTGCTGGGGACAGATGGGCTGCAGTCCATCTCGAGTAGTGGTTCATCTTGGGCGATATGTTGGGATGAATTAATCACAGAATCACAGACTGGTCTGGGTTGGAAGGGACCTTAAAGCTCATCCAGTTCCAACCCCCCTGCCAGCAGCAGGGACACCTTCCACTAGACCAGGTTGCTCAAAGCCTCATCCAACCTGGCCTTCAACACTTCCAGGGAGGAGCAGCCACATCTTCTCTGGGCAACCTGTTCCAGTGTCTCACCACCCTCACAGTGAAGAACTTCTTCCTAATATCTAATCTAAACCTCCCCTCTTTCAGCTGAAAGAACATTTCCCCTTGTTCTGTCATTAATTGCCCTTAATCTCCACACACTTGCCCTAACCTATCCTCAGGTATCAGACTCTGCTTGAGTAGACTTCATTTACCTCTTTAGAAATCAGAAGCTGTCTGTTCCTAGTTTCCTGGTTTAGTTTTCTGATCTGCTCACTGTGGGGCATATTTTTCAGTAAGAAAAGTCTGTAACTCCTCAGTTTTGTGACCCATCATGTAGAACAGTGGAATAATCAGGCTGTTAGCAGTCTACTATGAATAAATTGAAAATACAGATTTTCTGTATTGCCATCAACCCCCAATTTTTTTTAAGAAAACCATACTTTTAATTATTTCCTAAAGTAATTACCCTCATAAATTCCAGTGTTAGGGGGACTGGCCACAAGGGTGGACACTTTGTCCTTTTGGAGAAGAAAGCTGGTTGCTGAAATACTATTTTTTTTGTTGGTGGTTGGAGTAGGACGAGGTTGTTCAGTTTAGAAGAAATTTTAAAGATAGATGTGCTGCATGATTGCTTTGGGTTTTTTCCACCTGTTCTTGGGTCTTTTGTTTAGTGTTGTATTTTTATTCCCTGTATAAGGTGTTGGTATAAGATTTTTGGGAGCAACATTTGTTCTGTACTTCAGCATTCTGTTCCCATCCATCCTTCCTACCTTTTGTTTCAAACGTGGTTGTTTCCATCTGTTCTAGAAACGGATGCTTTTGATTATCAGATGAACAGTTTAGAATATTGTTACTCCAGAAATTCCCTTACCTCAAAGCCTCAAAAGGCAGAAATGGGGAGCCTCGTTGTGTGTCTGTGTGAAATAGTGCGTTGTTTAACTTTGGGGCAGGCATCTGGAGATGGAGAAAGGAGGCTCTGCTTGGTCTCTGGAGGGAACTTTGTGCTGAGGTCTCCCCCATAGAACAGTTTGTGGGGAAAGGTGTCTGGAATGGGGATAAGAGACTGATCATAAAACACTTGAAATGAGGAGACTTTTTGTGCACTTTTAGTTCATGCTGGTTCTTAATCTTTTCAGTTTCTTAGTCAACAAATAATGTCTCGAAATCCACTTTCTTTTAATCATCTCTCTATGTGATGTGTGTTGTGCAACACGTTCCTCAAATACTGCTTCACTTAATTCATAGTGGCATTTTAATTGAATTTTAGATGAAAAATTAAATTAAAAAAAAATCTTAATATGCAAAAACCCCTCATTCTAACTTGCTTTTATGGTCTTAATGCTTTTTTACTTTTTTTCCTTCTAGATAAGAAGCCCAGCATAAGTGTGAGACTGCTGTAGTACAACCTACAAACGTTGACACCTTTCCTGTTGAATGTTGTTATATATTAGAAAAAGTGAGTGTGCTTTAAAAAAAGTTCCCCAGTGGTGAATATTGTCTTAAACTTTACCAGTTTTTGTCAGCAGAAAATGAATAGAGAAACAAGAAAACAAGAAAACAAAACCCCCTGTGTGTTTACTAATCTGTATGTGAATTTGGAGTCTTGACCAAAAGTGTTTTATTAGGTACATTTATATAATTTCTGTAACATCATTGGTGAAGTTTTCAGTCAGTCTGTGTTCAAAGAGCTGTCCTTGATTTTTTTCCAATTTAAAATGCCTAGCTTGCTTACAGTAACGAAGTTTTTCTGCTGTAGGCATATGAAATTGTTCATATCTCAGTCTATGAACTGGTTATGCTTTTCCTGAACGCAGAAGTCTCTACTTCTTGCTCAGCTGAGGTTGAGCCACAGCTAGATTTTAAACGTGCTTTGTCTTTTAAGTAAATCTCTTTAAAATTCTGTTCTGTAACTTGAAAAAACCTGACCTGTAGTGACTGTTACATATTAACTCTCATCAGTGGCTTTTTTTTTCTTCCTAATTCTGACATAATAAACTTCTCTGGTGATATCGATCGGCGTGTGTATGAATTTGTGCCCTGTGGTTGCTGGACACTGGTCTGTGCGTACAGTGCTTCAGCTGGTGGAAATGGGCCAAAAGTGATGCTGTGATTTACGCATGGAGCCTGTGATACGTGAGCAGCTTCCACAGCCCGGTCACAGCTACACACCAAACCTTAACCCCACATTTAATCTGTTAGATTATAGGGACTTGCCAGCTGGGCCAGTTGCCAAAACCTTCACAGTTATCACTAAATTGTGAAGGCTGAGCTTGATCTAAGTAAGATGTGCAGATCCTTAGGCCTTGAGTCAACTGGCTTGTAGGAGATGGGCTTTAAGACTGAATTCTTTTATCATCTCCATTGTTTCTAGCACTGTGATCTTGGTGCTGTGATCTAATCACTGGGCAGTGGCATGGCCTAACTAGTGCTTTGTTGAATGCTTTGAGATAGGATGATGAAAACTCTTTCAGAAGTCGCATGTACTGTAACTGAGTGTGCTGAGGCTTTTTATTGCCTTTTTAAGAACACATCCAGGCCGTGTTCATGTGTTCCTTGTCAGCTCGTGATTTCCCCTGCAGCTGCTGTGTTGCCTGTGTATCAAGTTGTGGGTTTCTCAATTAATTTCTTCTCTTATTTGATATTTTGGGTTTATTAGTGGGGAGAATGAATAGAAAAAGTAAGAATAGTGGAATTTGTCTGCAGGTTTCATTTTAGCCCCCCCCCCCTTTTTTTTTTAATGTGTTCAAGCATTGAGTTAACAATTTCTATGGTGTTCTGGGTTTCATTGAAGTAAATGTTTTGGAACATTAGTGCTACCAAGCAGCATGTCAACTGTAACTTGAAGTATTGTCTTCATGTGTTTGCATTTGTTGCTGCTTATGGTTGCTGTTTGACAAACCTGAGTCAATTGGAAGACTCAGTCCTTGTGCCATTCCTTGTAATTCTGCAACTCAGTGAAACATGAGGCTGATGTAGTGTTCACCTTGTTCTAGTGCTAAAGGTAGAGGTGGGAGAGCCTGTTCATCTCTCCATCATCTATTATAACCTTCATAATTAGTTTTCTTCTGTTATGGAACTTCTTTCTTAAATATCTTTATTCCATAGATCTTTTGCTTAGTGCTTGCTGTAGCATTTTGTTGAAGTTTGAATTTTGGAAGCAGATCTGGTACACCAGGTAGCCCTGTTGTCTGTTTCTAATGATGGTGAGAATTCTGTGTTGCAAAGAAAGCTTCTAATGATTTTCATCGACTTACCCAGAACTGAAGAATGGCTTTGGGCTCTGCTGGCCCTTTCAGAATCCACCAAATAAAAAAAGACCTTCAGGAAATGGCTGGCAAGAAGTAGCCCCTTGTGGCTTAGTTCTGACATACTTGTAAAAAAGAAAAATAGTAGTTTTGCCATCATTCTTGAAGTTAGAACTTTTACAAGATGCATGGCTGAGGTCTGTGAGCTTTTCCCTTGCCTGCTTGTTCAGATTCTTCTGCACATATTCATCTTTCATTGCAGTGTGTTTCAGCTTTGCTAACTGAAGTCTAGCTGGTCTTAGGTGCACCTGAGAATGGTGGTCTAGTGAGGTAGAAAAGTGCTGTTTTAAGCCTTTAAATGGTAGGAATAGTTGTACAGTGAAAAGAAGCCTTTTTTTCACTCATTTATTAGTTCCTGCATTTAAAGTCACTCTTGCTAGTTCAAAAACTGATGCTGAAAGGTCACTTTGGACATGGAAACTTTTCCTAAAACACCCCAAACTTGCAACCAAAAAATTATTTCACCCTTTAACTGTTTTCCGTAGGAAACAAAAATAAAAGCATAATAAAAAGTGAATGTCTACAGTTGAGTGAATGGAGAATCCTTCTGTTACAAAACTTCAGTGCTGGTCTGTCAAGATTATTAGGCCATTTTTAGAATGTAGTGCTTCCTTCAGTGTCTACACTTTGCAAAACTGAGGTGTGGATTGGTGATACGCGTTTGTAAGACAATAAATGTATTTGTGAAGTCATTTTTTTCCTCACTTCTGTTCAATGTGTATTTTCTTTTCTCTGCTTGGTTGTTGCTGGGAAAGAATGGTTCAACAAGTTCCAGAAAACATAACTTTTCCAGAGGAGGAAGAGAAGATACTGGAGCTCTGGAAAAAGCTTAATTGTTTCCAGGA